ATACAGACCATGTTGATCTGCTAATCGGGCAGCAACCACACCCAGAGGCTTCATCCTGGAGGCATTAACCATCTGTCGTTTCCCTGAAGAAAGGCTATAATGGAAACTAGAAGGGGAGCCCCACAATGTTCTTGGAAGGTGACGGCTATCACGGTTCTGTGATGTGTTTGATCCCTGCTCCTAGACGTACTACCTTGTGTTGGAGAAGCTGCTGCAGCTGGCGGGCTCTGATAACCCCGACAACTTTGCCAAAGTTACTTATTATGCCGTATCCAAAACCTACAGCTATCGTTCCTCTGCCATCTGGAGAGCCTCCACATCTTGTCAGGAATTCATGGACCATCTTATAAAGACCGCACCTGAGCCAGGTTCCTGCTCTGGCTACCACAATGTGTTCTTATAGGAGAATTCAAGCTAACTGAACTCGGGGTGGGGGGTGGAGAAGTACTTACAGCAAGGTACAGCCAGCTCTAGGCGGCACCGCTCTGTCGCTCACAAGCCCACATCATCATAGTTCCCCGTGGGTTTCGAAGTCCACCACCTGCGCACTCCAAACCCAAACAACTAAGCTCTCGGGTAACTTTGGAACGGCATTCTGTTAGAGGCTGCACAGACTCAGTACCCTAAGTCAGAAATACTAGCCCATTTCACAAACTTCTGAGACAATTTCGCACAGGCTCCTTTTCCATAGGACCCTTATACGATACTTGAGAACCTGCTGCTGAGCACCAAAGAGAATCACTATCACATTGGACCAGCCCCCAAGACCTGTTCAGGGTATAAAAGAAAAGTATTCAATTTAGAATAGCTGGGGGAATACTTTGTTGTCTTTGAATATGACTCATCAGGTTCAGCATCAAGAATCAGAACTAGAGCCTCCTGGCACAACAATGACCTCCAACTTCTCTTTAGACTAATTGTGATGTGTAGTAATTACTACAGAGAAATTAACCCTGGAAAGTATCTTATCAAGAGATCACACGGCCTCTTATTTTTCCCTTCCCCACTGTGACTTTTAAGACAGATTGTTCCAAAAGGGAATTGGCGCAACAAGGACCATAAAAATCAGGATAACAATTACCTCTGAAGCGGTGGGAGGAGACTTGCTCTGCAATGCTATAGTGTTTTAATTTTGGTTTGAATGCCACCATCACATACATGTATTTCCTTTATAATTATTTATTAAATTGTACATGCCTGTAGACCTTTTTAAAAAATCTACGTTACATCTCAAAATAAAAAAAAGGACATTCATTTTTAAGTGTAAGTATCACAAAACCTGGAGCTGTTCTGTTATACTTGAGGGTCTTTGTGAAGCACAAGTAAAGCCTCTGCTTCACGCCCCCTGCGAGAGAATCTCGATTGTGCCCCTATAAGAGAAGTGTGGCTGGGTGGAGGTCCGATGGCTCTATCTGCTGTGGGTCAGAGGTAATGGCTCATGCCAGGCTGACACTCATATCTACAGTGTCAATTCGAGAACAATCCTACCACCGTCTTAAGAATAACTTTATGACAGAGGATGCCGGGGTGGCTCAGGCTGTTAAAGCATCCATCCGATTTTTTATTTCGGCTCAGGTCATGATCTCAGGGTCCTGGGATTGAGCCCCGCATCAGGCTCGATGCTCCGCATGGAGTCTGCCCGTCCCTCTCCCTCTGCTCCTGCCTCTGCTCTCTCTCTTCTAAATAAATAAATAATTTAAAAAAGGAATAACTTTATGATGGGCTGAAATCAATCAATGATGAATGTTCACAGCCACTCAAGGTCACAACAGCAGCAATTGTAAGAGACGTAAGACTGTTAATCTAAAAATAGGAAGTTAGAAGGACAGAATTTTGTTTTTTTTAAGGGCATCTCGTATCACCAAGGAGCTTGAGGAGGTGGGAGTAGAGTGAAGAGTGGTGTTCAAAGATTCCAATTCACCAGGTCTGGGAGATGGGGCAAAAATCAGTATTTTAAAAACAATTCCAAAGGGTATTTTTTTTTTTTTTTAATTTTCCAGATTGGGAACCAATGTGTCATGACACCGTGACTACTTTCCCAACAAAGCCAGGGTCCCTGCTACTCTTCCTTCCAGGCCCCAAATCAGAGGTCTGGTTTTCTCTCTCTGCCAAGCTTATCTTCAGCTGGAAAAGAATTGGTACCAATTCTTTTGGTGCCAATTGGTACCACCCACCACCCATAAATGTCTGAGGAGCAGTGATTTTGTCTGCCACGCCTAGCTCGCTTGGGAGGAAGAGGTATGGAAATAAATGTGATCGTATGCAAACCAGAAGCCTAAGTATATCAGTTAGCAGTGGTGACATCTGGATGGCAGGTCAATGATTTCTCTTGGCCTCTTTTTAATTTCCAAATTTTCTATGCTGAGCTTCTTATGTCAAACAACAAATGAAGACTGAAAAGACTCAGGAGAGCAGACATCCTCTGCTCTTGCCAAATTGGTTTCTTCTTCAGGAGCTGAGCATAAGCCTGTGTCCCGCACTGTGGCCCCGCCTGGCATCAGGGACAGCAGTGAGGAAGGATGAAAGTGTGAGAAGCCCAGGGTGGGCCAGGGCTCTGCAGGTAGATTCTACCCTGAGTTCATGGCTTTTGAAGGCATCACCTGGGGAAATGCAAAAACATTTCTAAATCTTTCTTTTCCTTCCCCGCCTCCAGTCGGGGCCCTAAACCGCCACTTAAAGTTAAGTCACTTGCTCCTCATCCTTTCCAATATCGATTTATTTACTGTACAAAATATTTACACTATCACTGCAGCAGTCTGGCCCCTTTGCCTGGCCTGACGGATTTGCAGCAGCGCGTGGTCTCTAGAAAACATGCTGATGCTCTCCTTGGTGTTCCCTCGGTGCTTGCTTGGTTTCCTTCCAAGACGCTACAAGGCCAGGCGTTTACCTGGCCCCCCAAGTACCTGGGCCCCTGGGGCATAAAGAAAAGAAGTGGCCAAAATAAGAAAGATGAGATTCACAATTGCTCGAGAAGTAAAAGTAACAGGTGTTCCTCCTTCTCTCTGACATGTCGTACCTTTTCCGCAAACTGGCTGGGACCAAAGCAGACTTAGAAGAAAAGGTAAAGGAAAAGGCCAAACTGAGCAAAGATGCTTTGGAACAGACTTAGGAGACAGAGTACACTGGAAGAATAGAAAACCACAACAGTACTGAAGGGTTTTTGTTCAGCAAAGCCCCTGGGGCTGGGGGGCAACCACGGGGCTGCGAGCTGCCGCAGCTGGGCCACAGTGGCCCTGAGGATGCTCCGAAAAGTGCTACAACTAGAGCTGAAAACGACAGATCTTGACAAGAAAATCAATTCGAGCTCCAGCATCGGTCTCTAGAGGGCTGTTGGAGGGGAGAATGCAGAATCCAGAAGAGGGGCAACTGCCAAAGACAGCAGAACCAGCCCCTGTGCCCCCAGCTGGAAACCCCTCTCGAGGCTCGAGGGGCAACATTGTGTTTCCAGGGTGATGACAAAACCTGCCTGTATTTGTCCAATGGGAAAACACTGGGGCAAGCAGCAGCACCTTGTCCTGGTCCCTGAGGACAGCAGTGACTGTGTGGCATGGAGGGCCCTGGCTGGGATGTCGAGGCCCTGATGCTGGATCCTGACCCCAAGAATGAGTGACGTCAGCACCCACGCCAAGAAGGACAAATGACAACTGCGAAGGAGTGAGGTCAGGCTGTGGTGGGAGCAGCTCAGGAGGGCTGGTTCCTCGTGATCCCTGGGAACAGGAGGGCTCAGACAGGCTTCCAGGAGGCCGAGGCATGGCCACAGGTCCCGCCTCACCTCTGGACTCTGCAGGCTTGCTGGTTTTGGCAGTAAAGATGGCTTGTAGTATTCTCAGAGTTGAATGCCCCGTTGAGAATGGTAGCTTGTAGCAAAGCCTTCTTAAAAACAGATATTTGGGAAGTTGATGAGATTTTGAGTCTTGAAAATGTCTGCATTCAAATGGTCATGAAAAAGGGTGGTGTGACTTTGCAAAGGCCTGCTGCGGGTTCTCGTCAATCACCATGTCACAGTGAATCTACGAGATCGTCCTCCCTCCACCGGGGCTCCTGCTGGCAACTTAGACACGGAAAGAAGTTAGTGGGCAGCTGGGTGTTTGTTGTCAGACACAGCTTCTCTCTGCATGTCCCCAGTCCCTGACCCCACGGACCTGTGACCGAGCTTGACCACTGGTCCCTTTTTCCTTGCCTCAGTACTGCCAGAGAATACCAGGCAAAGAGAGCCAGGGATTGTTAACGTGCTTTTCTTACTACTCCCAAACCCTTGTTACAAAAATTTTCTTCCGTAGAAAGCTAAAGAATCCCTAGCTCTTAGCAGGCTGCAGAAGTTGGAGGTAAGCGGCCAGGCCCAGCCAAACCTCCGTGTACAGAACAAACTCAGGGACAAACATCAGTAGTCTTCAAGCCGGCCATAGGCCTAGACATGCCCTAAAGGAAAATCATTTTCAGCACTGGAAGCTATGCCCCAGCTATCTTTCACATTCTTGGGTCTGTTTTTCTCACTGGCTCAAACTCAAGAAAAAGCTTAGAGAGTTCTTTATGGATTAATGATCATTTCCAGAAATGTCTTCAGGGAAAAAGTTCCTTTTCCAGTTTTGACACCACAGAAAAAGATCCTTTTGTGCCATCAGTCCCCCACTTAGAGGTAGTCCAGAGCCATGGCCTGAGCCTGCTATGGTGCAGAGGGACAAAAATGAAGACTGCGCACGTAGGCCACTTGCCATCTGTGCTCCTCCCGGCTTCTGGTGAGAGAGGCGATCGCCCTGTGCCCAGGAGGGACTCACGTCCCCGCAGGGCAAGCAGTGAGGGCTGCAGAGGGACGTGTATGGGCCATGGGCATAGGAGCCTTCTAAGAAAGCCGAGCCCTTTGTGTAATCGCCCTCCGCTCCTGAATCCGCTCCCGGTCCTGAGATCTTCTGAGAACAAACTGAAGTGACGGCAGCACGGTCCTCTCCTCAGGAGCGGGGGCGTGGGGGGGTGGGGGTGGGGAAGGGGAGGGGGCGGGGATGCAGAGGGCGCGGTGAGGCAGCGACCCGGTGGGAGGTGAGCAAGTACTCCAGACACCGGGTAGCAGGCAGCAGCTTCTGGCCGACGGAGCGGTGTTGGGGTCGGTGGTTCTCACGGTGTTACGTGCACCCAGGTGCTCAAGGAAGCACGGGGGCCGGGGGCACGTGGCAGGGGAGTGGTCAGAGCATGCCAAAGCCCTCGCAGCCCTCGCTGATGGCCAGCTGCAGCATCCTGTGAACCTCTTCATACGAGTCATACGTGGGGAGGCACAGCTGGTTGAAACTGGAAGAGCAAGGGGAGAGGCGATGAACTCACGCGCCAGAAACACTGGCCAGGGCTGGCAGAGCCTCCCTCTCCAGAGGGTGCCCTGGCGGCGTGGGACCTACCACGTGTGTGCAGTCGGGAGCGTGCTGTGGGTGGGGGCGGCGATAATCTGGAACGAGGGACAGAGGGCGGCAAAACCTCCGGGTGGCAGCTGAGAGGAGCCCGTTGTGAACTGTAGCAGCCGAGCCAACTCCTCCTGGGTCAGACTGGACACCACGGTCCAGAACCACCTCATGACCTGGCAGGGAGAGCACAAGGTGGGGTCGCGCTCAGTGTGCAGCCTAGCACTGGACTCTGGGGGAAGAGGAGGAGAGCCGGAAGTGGGGGACCCGGGTAGCCACGGGGAGAGTGGACAACTCCAGGAATGTACACTGTCACACCATCAGCAGGGCGGCCCCTGACTGCTTGGCTCTGTTCCTTTACCTTTCTAACGTACCGTTCCTGTGGCAGCTGGAGCAACAGCCCTTAGGGACCAGGGCTCCCTTCTGCTTGGACAACCACCTGTCTTTCCCTTGTGTACCATTTTCTCCCCAGTTGATGTGTCTGCCTATCTGACTCCTTGGCAATTTTCTTCTGAAAGTTTTTCCTTGCAAAGTGGCACAAATCCAGGGAAAAGAAGTTTGGCCCACTTACCTTTTCTCGGAAATGCCACGAGCCGCCAACAACCACTGCATGGGCTTTGAAGTCAGACACACTGATGTCCCCAGTCCCACACATCAGCAGCTGGAGAAGATAGTCGGGCGTTACTAGGACAGTTGGGGGACAAACACCCAATATAAAGTCAAAACTACTTATGTTAACATGCAAAACATGGAATAAAGGAAACACCAGGAAAAAGACCATAAGGCGAGATCATAATGCCAGAACTCTGTGTTAGGAAAATCAATTTTAACAGGCCAATGGTTCCTAACCAGTGTGGTAAAAATCACCCAGCTTTAAAAAAAATATGCAGATGTCCGTGGCCTTACCCCAGACCCACTGAATCAAAATCTCTAGGAATGGGTTTGAAACTTGTGTACTTTGAGAACGTTTCCGGTTACCAATGTGTACCTCTAACTAAGAGCTACTGCTCTGGTTGGGCGCCTGGGTGGCTCAGTAGGTTAAGTGTCCAATTCTTGATTTCAGCTCAGGTCATGACCCCAGGGTCATGGGATCAAGACCCATGTCAGGCTCTGTGCTCAGTGGGAAGTCTGCTTCTCTCTCTCTCTCTCTCTCTCCCCCTCCGCCCCATCCCCTTGCTCATGCATATTTTTTCTCTAAAATAAATAAATAAATCTTCAAAAACCCCCCAAAACAAAAGAACTACTGCTGTAGATTATTTTGAACTGAAACAAAAGACAGAAAGAGAACCAAGTATTTACTGAGTCTGCTCTATACATGGCCTGGGAATACCAGGAAAAAAAGGCAGGCCCCTTCCCTTTGATGAAAATCCCCAGCTCCATTTCTGAATTTGTCAGATGGCCTTTCCTATTTCCCAGCATCCATCCTTCTTTTGTGGCTTGAACTTTTACCAACTTCCCTTCAGCCGTGCCTCTACTTGATCAGATGAATTAAAAAAGTACACCAAAAAATGAGAAATGAATGCTATCAGAGGCCTGAACCTCTTGCTGATGTCCTAATTTGGTTCTGGATCCAGCATGTGACATAGCAGACTGCAAATGCTCGTTCAACAGCTCTAAAGAATGATATGTCCTCATCAAGAGACAAGAAAAGCCCAAATTAAGCCTGAGGAGCTTTGGCTCCTTCGAAAAGAACCCTAAGCTAATGAGTAAGAGTGGGGTATGGAACAATTCTGAGAGACCGTGTCCGTCCTTCCTCCTCACTTTAACAAATCGTCATGAAGGTTATGCTTCATAATAAACCAAAATACACCAGTAGCTGTTCCTCAGCCTGGAAAATACCAGCACTAGGTGACAGGTCTAGTGGAAACGTGAGGCTGAGTAAGAGATGGAACATTCATTTTGCTTGAATTTCATGTCTGAAGGTACACATGTGAAGAAAATCACACACAACTTTGATTCTTGTTCTTGAGGCTGGTTCCGTTAATAAGAATAAACACTGTATAAGGCCATCTGAAACGACTGTTCTGTTTTCTTTTCTTTGAGGAAGAGTCTCCTTACAGGAACCAGTCTCATAAACCACTCCTCATAAAGGCTGTGGCAAGTCGGAACCAATAACTTGCCTAGTATGTACCATTTGTGAGCAACAGATCAATGACCTCCTGATTTTATTTTTTGCCCACAACTTCTATTTTGATAATTACAGAATGGTATTCACCATCCTTGGTCCATTTTGCAGTTGTTACAGGATCTGCAATAAGAATATATTGACTGTATAGTGTCGTAGCCCAAAACTTTGAAATATATCACATCTTTTGGTTTGTCTCCTTCCCTGGAACATAGCTCTATGAGGGCAGGGACTCTGTCCTATTCATTACTGGCTCCCTGGTGCTTCAAACGTCCATGTCTTATAAGAGATACTTGATAAATAGTCCCTGAAAAAATAAATTCTATTATTCCCCTAAATCAACTTTAAATGTCACAGGATTTACACGGACTGTACACAATACCAATGTTCTTTACTCTTCAACGAGTATCAGTAATACTGATGAATAAATGACTTTTTTTTTTTTTTTTGGATTTGATTTTTTATAAACATATATTTTTTTCCCCAGGGGTGAATAAATGACTTTTATTACTCCTCAAAAATAATTAGTTAATTGGTTCCTAATGCTCACATTCTAATGTTCTGAAAGCTAGAGAAAGGAACAATGCATGGAAGAGTGACAAAAGAGAAACCACCTCCTGCATGAAGGACTTCCCACCGCATCTCACAACAGGAGGTGTAACGAGCTGGTTCCTTCGGGCACACTCACATACCTCGTCAAGAATGGGTTGGGGGTGGGGGAGATCCTGTAATTGGAACCACTTACCTCGAGCTCATTTTCATCAAATATAGCCAAAAGGTTTTCAGGGACCAACTCATTCAGGCCTGAAACAAAGTGGCTGAGTTAAAGCCATACCCATACCACAGATAGAGGGTTTTTTTCTCAAGGCCAAGAGTAGATGGGCTCTCACCTTTTAGGAAGTGTTCCACCTCCTCTTTCACTTGACTGGCCAGTCGATATTGGGCCAATAAATTTAAATAGAAGATTTTATTTGCATTCGTGACTGGGGTTTGAGCTCCACCTGTCATGAGTTCTACAAGCTGAAAGAAGAGGCAAAAGACAGAGGGGGGAAGCTGTGGATGGGAGATGATCAGATGACACCTGCCCAGTACTTCCTGTGAACCCAGCCTCACTCATGAGTTTCTGCTGCACATTCACCATCTCCACACATCTGGTTTTACACAGACACTAAGCTTCAGCCGTCCCACCACTGTGGCCTAGTCCACTGGCTACCAGGGTATTGGAGTGAGTCGTCTCTGACCAGGTCAAACTGTGGTGATGCAAGAGAAGATGTCATGGTTCCTTGTTTGCAACATTCTAACAGCTCTAATGATCCAAAATTAAGCCCCGTGTGACCTTAATCTCTTAGACCCCTGAACCAACTTATCTGAGAATAAATAAGGCCAGGTAAGTAGTGAAGAAGTCTTTTTAGATTTCAGAAACTCTGGGTGCCTTGGTGGCTCAGCTGGTTAAGCATCTCCTTCAGCTCGGGTCTTGATTCTGGAGTCCTAGGATCGAGTCCTACGTTGGGCTCCCTGCTCAGCAGGGACTCTGCTTCTCCCTCTGACCTTCCCCCTCTCATGCTCACTCTCTCTCATTCTCTCTCTCAAATAAATAAATAAAATCTTTATAAAAAAAAGATTTCAGAAATTCTAAGATGGGAATCACTGTTCCTTTTATCTTCCCAATGTGTTCACAGAGGTCATGTGATTATCAGTACCAATAGTATCAGTGCTCACAATTTTTTAGTCGTTGCTACTTTACTTTCAGTGGTAATAATACTGCAACTTTACAGTCATCATAATCATCTGATACTATTTAACCCCAAAACAGAAACAGAACCAAATTTGCATCAGACATGTTTTGGGCCTCCCCAAATTTTTTTAATTAAAAAAAAATGTTTAAATTAAACTAAATTAAAATAGAAATATTTTCGGCCAGTAATTTTCTAGTAAAAAAGCCAAAGAAATATATAAGCACAGTGTTAAAATAGGAGTTAACTATATCATGACCATTGAAGTTGAGAAAAACAAAGTTTCTGTCCCTTCTAAAGCTGCTTGTGCAGTGACACCTGATTTTCACTCAGTTCTTTTTATACTGGAAAGCAGAAATGGTGTATCTTTTGCGCCATCATACAGGCCAAGATCATCACATGTGGGATGCAATGTCCTGATATGGTTGCCACTAGCCTCATGTGCTTATTTACATTTAATGAGAATAAAACAGAGTGAAAACTTCAGTTACTTGGTGAATAACCAGGCACATTTTGGGTGTTCAAACGCAGCACAGATAGACAACATTTCCATCACTGCAGAAAGCTCCAACAGGTAGCCCTGCTCTAGAGGAGCCTGGGAACCACGGGACCCACAGGCTCTGGTTCTCTTTCTCACCTTCTCCAATTGGCCTGATTTGTTATATTTCTCTTCTGCAAAGACCAGCTCCATCTCACTCATGTCATTGTTGAGGATGAAGCAAACCTTAGATTTGTAGAATTCTGGGTCATCTGTTTCAAAATACTGAGAAGACAGAAAGACAGAAAGACAGAACAGAACATAACTACTCTTACCCAGAAATGAAATCTGTAACTGTTTAGAAACACTTACCCCTTCAACCTTAAGAATAATGAGCTCAGAGCAGAGGGATTCCAGAATTAACGGCCAGAGGCCTTGGTTAAAAAAAAACATGTATACCTAAGACTTTACCTTATAATGCATACGTAGTCCTATGATTTGGGCCAAGAAAGAGCGGGTGAAGCGAGCTCGGACCAGTTGCTTATAGGCTCCGCCTAGAGAGGACTCATAGAGACACTTGCCTACCAGCCGCCCTGCAAACTCGTACATCTTCAAGCGCAGATGAGCGGGGCGGTTAGGGTTGGGGTGGACCTGTCAAAGAAAGAGATTAAAAGGCCCTGGGCCATTTTTCTTCAAGCTTAGTTCACCAATTCTTATCGCAAGGGAGCAGGAATTTCAGTGTTAGAATCAAAGAATCATCTAAATGGCATTAGCTATTTGGTAGCTACCATGAGTAATTTAGAGTGACTAGAAGACGGAGGGCAAAGAGGGACTTCAGTAAGGGGAAAAATCTTACATTAAGTTTGTGGTCCCTGGCTGAGTATGGAAGTTAACCAGAGAATGATGTGATGCCTTCCCCCTAAACCAGAACTTATTTCAAACAAGGTCTATTTCTCTACTCCTGCTACCTCTACCTAGTCAAAGATCTAGTACGGAATTCAATGGCTTGAGGTATGGTCTGAGAAAGTGGCCTAACAATTAGTAGAGAGCCATCACACTATGTTTTAGCCAAATACTCACCTATCTGCATTTTCTCTTATTTTACAGGTGAAATAATAAAGGCAAAGAGGAGGGAGGCAATCTAATTTGGGTTCACTAAGAACAAGACACAGGCTGCCAAATTCCCAGGACAATTTCATGACCTCAAATACTTCTGAGAGCTTCCAGTACAACACAACTGACATCTTCCGCCCACCCACAGGGGAAGTCACAGACTCACTAATGCTTGGTTGTTGTCACTGAATCGCGTGAAGAGCTGATTGGTGGTATCGAACAGTGCTTTGCAGATTAGCTCAAACCATTCCCGGCGAGGCCCTCCCCAGTCCAGAGCTGGAAAGTATAATAAAAATAAAACGTGGGGGTGCTTGGGTGGCTCAGTTGGTTAAACGTCCAACTCGTCATTTCGGTTTAGGTCATGATCTCAGGGTCATGAGATTGAGCTTTGAGTTGGGCTCTGAGTTCAGCAGGGAGTCTGCTTGGGATGTTCTCCCTCTCTCTCCTTCCTTTCTCTGCCCTTCCCCCTGCTGCCACATGCGTGCTCTCTCTCAATAAATAAATCTTGAAAAAAAAAAAAAAAAAAGCGACTCTGACCTACCACTTCTTACTGCTTGTGTTCATTCATTCATCGTTTGACACTCTCCGCTTTCCTTCCGTTCCACTACATTCGTGTCTCCCCAGTCCAAGCCACCTAAACTAAGGCGCCTCTTCTTCTCTTTTTTAAAAAAATCCCACCCCTTTCTGTAGGATTACAGGATTTAAGATATTCTACTCACTAGGTTAATGCCCCCCCAGTTTGGAAACACAGGTCCCAGGAAATGGACATTTCTCTTCTACAAAGTTTACTTTCCCTTCCAGTCCAGACTCTTAGAGCTTGCCCTCCCAGTCCGTGTGTCTGTGCTCTACAAGCTCGAAATACCACCTTTTCTGTTTCTACTCATGACTTCTTTTTCCTTGGGAAAAATAAGCTGGGGGAGGGGCAGGGTTAAGGGTAGGGGAGGGTATTTTTGTGATTTGTGAAGAATGGGTAAGGAGGAGGGGAGAAGTGGGGAAGAGAGTTAAAGAAAATCAACACGAACTTTTAAAAACTGACCTTCTTCATCTTGAAAAACCACTTCAAAGTTCTTGCTCCAATCTGAGATGGAGAAATTCCGAGTGGCTTTCAGAGACTGAAAAGCAGTGAAGGGAAGGAAAGTGTCAAAAGACTGGTAGGCATCTCTTGGATGTTAAAGACAAAAACACAAGAACATTGCCACCGTCCCTTTAAACCATTAGTACTTGGAGGAGACGCAGTATTCATAAACTTTAATCATATCATTTCATATTTTAAATACATGTATCTCCAGAAGAAATTTAAGATTTCAAAAAACAATTTAATTCATCTTTACACCATTGCTTTGTTGGGAAGTTGAAGTGGTTTTTTTTTTTTAATGTTCATTTTATTAATGAAAAAACTCTTACATAAAGAAATAAAAGGAGTCAAATTAGTAAGCTGTCAGCAAGAGAACCAAGGAGCCCTGGTTTTCAGTAAAGTGCAGCGTCCACTGGAACTCTCTATTCACAGGGCTGCGTTCAGATAGGGAGCCATGCCACACAGAGAATGTGGCTGAGAAAAGGGGTTTCCAGTCACACCTACCAGAGCCAAACATCACAAACACTTTCTGGACAGGGACCAAGCCTTCTCATTCTTGAGGAATGCAAGAACCAAGCCAGTGTCTGTGCAGTGGAGACAGACAGACATCAGGTGTTCCTTTTCCATCAGACCAGGGTGACAACAGAAATCATTTCCTTTTAACCCAGCAAGAGCTCTTCTCTTCCAGGGATGTAAGAACAAGAATGCTTCTCTGTGACAACTGCTTCTCCCTTCCCCACATAGAGGTTCCAAGAGATGGTTCAGGAACTAGTTTAGTACAGACTGTAAAGCCAATGTGTCAACTAGTCTCTCTCCTCGATAATACGTCTTGAACAAATCCACCCCAAACTTAGTATAATCAGACACAGAGAAGAGCAGTCTTTAATAGATATGTTTAAAGAGAAATTTGGGGATCATAAAAGATGACCTGGGGGATATAACCCAACACCGGAGAGGTTTCTAGTTGCAAAACCCTGACCACTGACGGTGGAAATGAAGCTTTACCCACCGATTCCAGCAAGGTGTGTCTGCTGACCTTCAGGGTGACTTTGGAATGTGGTCTTTTCATATGTACCTGCCGAAGCTCTCGCTGGAAGAAGTTCACCTTGTCCTGAAACGTCTCAGAGCCTCCTGAGGAGCGAAAAGATCCATCATGATGACAGCCTCATTACAAGACATCTGAGCAGTCCACCCCACATCTTCAGATGTCCAGGGTGGCTGAGGCTCCTGCCTTTTCTGTCCGAACCCCTGTCCAATCTTACCTATATTCTTATGGAGGGAGCGGATGAAAGTGGCTGCTAGAATGTTCCTCTCCTTACAGCTAAGCTCCACAGGTGGTTGAATGCCATCATCTACCACCAGTGTGAGGAGCTTATGAACAGGGTCGGGGCCAAGGTACGAAAACTAATGAAGGAAAAAAAAAAAGAAGGCGTTAACCTATAAAACCTCAAATCCAGCAAAACCTTTCCATATCCCTAACCTTCGGTACCAAACCATAAACAAATTAAGCATGTCTCCTCTAAGCCAGTACCTCTAGGAGTATATCACCTTGTTTTTCATGTCAAGTGCTCTATGATCCAATTGTACTTAAAATTATTTCAGTTACAGAGTTACTGGTTACCACTAGTTAGTACTAGTTAGTTACTGGTTACTACAGTTACTACTAGTGGAGTCACTAACTCCACTAACTGGAGTTAGTGAGGATCACAGGCAACAGGACAGCTCTCCTAACATAAAACCGAAGGAGGATGAAGGTAGTAAAGATATAGAAGATAAAGGGGCACCTGAGTGGCTCAGTCGGTTAAATGTCTGTCTTGGCTCAGGTCATGATCCCAGGATCCTAGGACTGAGCCCCATGCTGGGTTCCCTCCTCAGTGGGGAGCCTGCTTCTCCTTCTGCCTCTCCCCCTGCTCGTACTCTCTTTCTTTCTCTCTTTCTCTCTCCCATGCTCTCTCTCTCTTTCAAATAAATAAAATCTTTTAAAAAAAGATATATATAAGATACAAATGACTACCTGACGAGGTTGGACAGACTGGCTGGAGGAAAAGCAATTCACCTTCAGATTCCAAAAGCTCAGAGAAGTTAAAACAAATGTTTTTAATATATGAGAATGCTCATTCTAAAAGAGTTAACTTCAGCACACTGGGAAACCAAGCCTGGGCCAGAACTGCCAACACCATCTCCATTAACTTAGTCTCAGTGGCAAAAGATAACTGTTGAAAAATTCTGACTTGCTACTAATTCCTATTTCTGTAGGCATGTGCCCTTCTAGAACTTCTATATCCTTCATGCCAGGTTGTGAGGAGAAAAAAACCCTTTCTTTATTTGGCAATGAATCCTGTGTGCACGATAAGAACTTCCAGAAACACCAAAAGCCCTTCTAGGAAAAAAGAAAAGGCAGAAACATTCCAGGGTTGAAGTCTACTCAGCATGAAGCAGATGTAAGGTTCAACTTACTTTTGTTCCTGGGCACACTCGGAAGGTATAAAGGCGCCAGGGAATGATTTTCAGGTAGAACTCCTTCACTGAAAATTGCTGGAGGACAAAAATACAGAAAAGGAAGTGAAAGAGAACTAGAAAGGGTCTTTTGGGTATTGTAATTAAAAAATCAGAGTCCCTACATCCATTCCTCATCATCTTTTCCCTCTACGGACAAGGAGGATAATTTTTTAGTAGTAACACTAAATCAGTAACATCAATTTGATCTTAAAATAGGCAAATCAAAAATATTACTCTGGCAAGGCAATTTCATACAGATACACTTCGTAATCTCAATACTCAAGTCTTACTACCATTTCCAAATGTCTGAGATCAGGGTTTCACTTTATGAGTAAACATTTCATCTAGAAATGATCAAAATCTCCCTGTGTTCAGCTGGGTGCTGCTCAGATCTCCTCAATGGACGGGGAATACCAGTGGCCTATACCCACTGCTTAACCCTACTAGAATGGAACCAAGGATCTGCAGGGGAGGGGGAGCAGGTGGGGAACAGGGGTGTGCGTGAAGGTGGTGGTGTGATTTTAAAACAAAAAAGTTCATAAAAATATGTAAGAATAAAGAAGGGTCTCTTTATACTATTATATTAAAAAAAAGAAAAAGAGAGCTTTAACTTTAATCTAAAAAAAAACTCTTCTCTAAATGTACAGATTAGACTTTTTCTTGATTTAAAAAAAAAAACTCATCATGAAGAAAATTTCAAACACATACTAAAGGAGAGAAAATGGTACAACGAACCCATCATCAGCCTTAACAGCTGTCGCTTCATGGTGAATGGTCAATCTTGCTTCATCTGTACCTCACCCTGGCCCTCATTCCCATTCCCCTAGTCCAAAGTAGGGCTAGATTTTTAAATGAATAGAAAAGTTTGAAGTAGAACAAAATCAGAACTCTTGTTTTGGTTATGAGATGAAAGAGCCGTCACAGGATGTTTCAAGAGCTCTTTTTTCTGAGATCTGAATGACTAAGCAAAATACAAATGTTAAAAAGAAAATTCCTAACACAAAGTGCCTCTTAGCTCAGTGGCCTTGGGAAGCTCACCTCCTTGCCTCTGCCAAAATTTCTCTATTCTGATCTTGTTGCCTGATAGTGACATGCATTTATTGTGGTTTCACAAAGCACAGAATGAAAGATCAAGCCAACAGTAATTTTTATACCAGTGAAAAATTTTTAATGGTCAAAAGCCACTTTCTTTAAAATTCTAAGAGCCATGCCTTGAAAAATCTTCCCAGGAGCAAGCAAAGGGTAGAATGCGCCTGGTGCTCTAAAGCACCAAGGTACACAGACTCTCTGGACAGTTTCCACCTAGTCCAAGCCAAACAGGTGCAACAAAAGAGGGGGCACAGGGGCGCCTGGGGGGGGGCTCAGTCGGCTCAGGTCATGATCCCAGGGTCCTGGGATCGAGCCCCACATTGGGCTCTCTGCTCAGTGGGGAGTCTGCTTCTCCTTCTGCCTCTCACCTCTTTCTCTCTCGCTCCCTCTCTAAAATAAATAAAATCTTAAAAAAAAAAAAAAAAGAGGGGGCACAATCTTCTGCTCAACCTTAAGTAGCCTCTCTTAGTGTCCCAGAAACCCTCCAAGTCAAGGATCTCACCCTGATTCTCACACTAATACTTCGTGGTTTGTTTTTTTTTAATCAATGGCCGGTTACATGCAGGTTCAGGGAGGAGGGTTTTGAGACAGGAACGGGAGGTCCAGGGCTGCCTGGGTGGCTCAGTCAGTTAGGTATCTGCCTTCAGCTGAGGTCATGATCCCGGGGTCCTGGGATCCAGCCCTGCGTCGGGCTCCCTGTTCAGTGGGGAGCCTGCCTCTCCTTCTCCTTCTGCCCCCTTCTTGTGCCTTCTCTCTCATGCTCTCTCTCAAATAAATAAACTCTTAAAAAAAAAAAAAAAGAACAGGAGGTCCAACCTTTGGTGACACATAGCAGTACACCTTCTTCGGTTTCTTCACCTTCTCGGGGGTCTGGCACTCAGAGGGTGAGTCCTCATCTTCCTCCTCCACGGCTGTGGAAGGCCGGCGCTGGGAGGAGCTCGTGTGCATGGGCGGAAGGTGCCAGGGTGTGCCGGTACAGTTGGTAGCATTATAAAGATAAGCCTCAAAGTAAATGCTCACTCCTGAGGTGGACACATTGCGTTCAACAATATTCTTCTCATTCTCTGAAGTATAACAAGGAATAAGGTTTTAAAGTAGGACACGGGGGAGAAAAGAAATGACCTATCACTAGACCTTTAGTCCATAGGACTCTGAGCCAAGTTCAGCTCAAATAGCAAGTGTGTGTGAGGCTGGGCAGGAAAATGCAGACGCACAAAGAACAAGTGGTCTGGGAACGGGGCTAAATCACAGCTTTTCTTTCAACTCACCACTTAGGACAATAATGTCAAATTCACCATTATTGATTGGCTGATTTTGGTATGAAATGCAGGCATGGAAGCAGCCGCGAGAATGCAGGGTAAGTCGCAAGGACACCTGGCAGGTCTGCCTGTTGGAGGTCACTGACTTCTCAAATGAGACACCAGTGCTCTCTTCTTCTTGAGGACCGAGCTGTAGGAGGAAAACAGAGCATCACTGAACATTGAGAATTTTCCCTACTGCATGGCAATTTACTCTTTTTTTTTTTTAAGATTTTATTTATTTGACAGAGAGAGATAACAAGTGGGCAGAGAGGCAAGCAGAGAGAGAGAGAGCGGAGGAAGCAGGCTCCCCACAGAGCAGAAAGCCTGATGCGGGACTCGATCCCAGGACCCTGAGATCATGACCTGAGCCGAAGGCTGAGGCTTAACCCACTGAGCCACCCAGGCGCCCCGGCAATATACTCTTGACAAAGAACTTTCCCGTCTGCGAGCCTATCTAAGTCTCTTAATTATCATGAGATGGGCATTGTCAGATGAAGGAAGGACAGCACAGAAGTCAGGGCGGAGACGAGAGCAAGTGAATGAGAAAGAGTGAGAATGGCAGGGAAGGAGCAAAGAAGAGGAAGGGAAGCTGCTTACCTCATGAATGGACACACTGTAATTGTGCTCGTCTCTCAAGGATGCGGAATTGTTGGTAGGGTTGTCGTACTCATCTCGGGGCACTATTTGAAGGGTGTGTGGCTGTCCACAGGTCAACACCAGAGTAGAAAAATGGCACACTATTTTGGTCTTGGAAGGAACCACCATTCCTGGAAGAGACAATGGAATCTAATCCTTAGAGGGGGACTTTTCTGACCACAAAGATCTTTTCAATCAGTGAGTCCCAGAGAGCTGGGCCCCATCTAATTCCTAGGGATAAACACCACCATTAAGAGGACAAGAAAAAGAAAGAAAAAGAAACTCACTCAAATGAACTGGGGGACTCATTTTCACAAATTTCCAACCACTGCGGTGCTAAACAAAATGAGAAAAGGACTCACAGGAAACAGAACTGAGAGTTCCATAGTGCCCACAGTCCCACTGGGAACCTACAAGTGAGGCAGGACTCGGAAATAAGTGCTTAAAAAAAAACACAAAACAAACAAACAAACAAACAAAAACCCCTGAAACACTTGGGTGCAAATCTAAGGACAAATATACAAGACTCCTATGTTGAAAACGACAAAATGTGAATGAAAGAAATGAAGAGGTCTGTATAAAGTCAGAGGTTACCATGTTTATGAACTGGAAGATTCAGCATTATAATGATGTCAATCCTCCCCAAATAATATACAGGTTTAATACCATTCTTGTGGAAATCTCAGTGAGAGTATGTGTAGATATAGAAAATAGTGTTCTCTTTTGTATGGAAAGAAAGATTCTGCAGTAGCAAAAAACAATCCTGAAAAAGTTTACCCAATTTCAGGATTTACTGTATAGCCATAGTAATCCAGATTCTGTAGTACTGATGGAGGGACAGACCCAGAGATCAATGGAATAGAACAGAGGACCCAGAAATAGACCCCTGCAAATATGCCTAACCAATCTTTTTTTTTTTTTTTAAGATTTTATTTATTTGATACACAGAGAAAGATAGCGAGAGAGGGAACACAGGCAGGGGGAGTGGGAAAGGCTGAAGCAGACTTCCCGCTGAGCAGGGAGCCCGATGTGGGGCTCAATCCCAGGACCCTGGGATCATGACCTGAGCTGAAGGTAGACGCTTAATGACTGAACCACCCAGAGGCCCCTGCCTAACCAATCTTTAACAAAGGCACAAAAAAAGGACAATGTAAGAGGGGAAAGATGATCTTTTCAACAAATGGTGCTGGAACAACTAGACATCTCTAAGGAAAAACAAGAAGAAAAAAAACCTTGACACTATACAAAAATGAACTAAAAATGGACCAAAGCCTTAAATAGAAAACGTAAAACTTTAAGGAAAAAAAAAAAAAAACCACAGGAGGAAATCTTTGAGATCTAGAACTAGTCAAAGAGTTCTCAGATACCTAAAGCATGATCCTTAAAAGAAAAAATTAATAAACTGACTTCATCAGAATTAACTTTTGCTTTGTGAAAGACTATGTGAAAGGGATAAAAAGAAAAGCTAAAGATTGATAGAACAGGGGCGCTGGGTGACTCTGTCAGTTAAGCATCTGTCTCTGGCTCAGGTCTTGAAACCAGGGTCCTGGGATAATTCCCAATCTGGCTCCTTGCTCAGCGGGGAGCCTGCTTCTTCCTCTGCCTGAAGCTGCCCCTGCTTGTGCTTCCTCTCTGACAAATAAATAAAATCCTTAAAAAAAAAAAATACTAAGTGTTTAACTATCATATGACCCAGCCATTACGTTGCTGGGTATTTACACCAAAGAAATGACTGACAACGTATGTTCACACAAAAACCTGTGCATGAATTCTCATAGATTTATTCGTAACAGCCCCAAACTGAAAACAACCCAGATGTCCTTCAACTGTGATGGTTAAACAAACCAGGGTACATTCACATTATGGAATACTACTCAGAAATAAAGAGGAACCAACTACTGGTACACTCAGCAATTTGGCTGATTCTCCACGGAATTAGGCCAAGTGAAATATAATTCCATTTATTAAAGATTTTATTTTATTTATTTGAGAGAAAGAGAGCGAGAGCACACAAGCAGGGCGTGGGGCTGTAGAGGGAGAGGGAGAAGCAGACTCCCTGCTGAGCAGGGAGCCCGACACAGGGCTCGGGACTCAATCCCAAGACCCTGGGATCACGAACCGAGCCAAAGGCAGACACCTAAACAACTGACCCACCCAGGCACCCAATATAGTTCTATTTATGTAACATTCTTAAAATGACAAAATTATAGAAAGGGAGAAGAGAATCGTGGGCTGCCACGGGTTAAGAAATAGGGGGTGGGGGAGGGAAAATGTGTGGCTATAAAGAGGCAGCGTAAGGATCCTTGTGGTGATGGAAATGCTTCCTACCTTGATTGCGTCATTGTCAACAGCCTGGCTGTGACACTATACTTTAGTTTTGCAAGATCTCACAACCACTGGGGGAAACTGGGTCAAGGGTATACCAGCTCCCCCTGTGTTATTTTTTTAAACTGCTGGAGAATCCACAATTATCTCAAAGTGAAAAGTTTAAATTTAATTTAAAAATAAAAGCCTGAGTCATATTGTGAGGATATGAACTGTTCTCCACTGGTGGCAAGGAGGTGGAGTGAAGCTAATTCCTGCGGAAAGAAGTCTGTGAGCGAGTCACTGAGGGAAAGGAGGGGCCGCATGGAGCGGGCGTGGCTTGGGAGCCACCTTGTCCACAGCCTTCCACTGTGATAAGAGAAAGAAAACTAAGGACCTGTCAAGCAAAGACCCACAAATCTTCTTAAGGTTCCTCTTCTTGTCGTTTGACTCCAAAACATTCCCAAAGGCCTCTCATTTCTGTGGATACCAAGCTGGCCAGTACTTAATGACACCCCCTAAATGAAGCCAAGGCAGGGCACACAGAGCAGACAGGATGGTCAACACCCTGAACACATCAGCTACGGGGTCAGAAGTCAGAGAGTACACCTTTAGGCTTCAAAGTCGGTGAGCATCTATGATCTGGCATAAAGGATATGAGTGGGGGGAAAAAGAGAGAGGTCTCAATTCTTAGATACCGGTGGCTCCGGCACTCTGCCATGAGAAGGAAAACACATATGGGCAGTAAGGGCAGAGTTCCGGTCAAGGGCTTTTTACTTGAAAAGACTTAAAAAATCAGAAGAATTTACCTTTTGTCTATTCTAGCACCCTTACCCCTTAAGATTTTACTAGGCTGGTGATCCAGCAACTCTACTCCTAGAGAAAGAAAACCGTATGTCCGCACGAGAACTTGGGCACAAAAGCTCACAGCAGAAGTAGTCACAGCAGCCAAAAATGAAAACAACCCAAACATCCGTCAGCTGGTGAACGGATAAATAAAAGGTGGTCCATCCACACAACAGAATGTCCTTCTGCAATACAAAGGAAGGAAATGCTGATTCATGCTATAGCACTGAATAAACCTTCAAAGCATTATGCTAAGTCAAAGAGGCAGTCACAGAAGCTCATATGTCTTATGACTACACCTATACAAAATGTCTGGAGTAGGCACATCTACAGAGTGGATAAATGGTTACTTACAGATGGGGAGGTTTGGGGGAAACAGGGAGTGACTGTTAACGGGTACCCAGATTTCTTTTGGGGCTGATGAAAATGCTCTAAAAGTGACCCAAGTGCCAGTGGCACAACTCAGAATTTTATTATTATTTTTAACGATTTTATTTATTTATTTGACAGACAGAGATCACAAGTAGGCAGAGAGGCAGGCAGACAGAGAGGAAGGGAAGCAGGTTTCTTGCCAAGCAGAGAGCCCGATGCGGGGCTCGATCCCAGGACCCTGGAATCATGACCTGAGACAAAGGCAGAGGCTTTAACCCACTGAGCCACCCAGGTGCCCTACAACTCAGAACTTTAAAAACCATTTAACTGTATATTTCAATTGGAAGGGTGATGTGGCCTGTGAATTAAATCTTAATAAAGGTGTATTTTTAAAAAGCGAGAAAGAAAAATACAGGAAGGACAGGATGGAGAAAGGGAAACATACCAGGCTGAAAAATCTTATAGTAGGGACTGTAGGCCACGTTTAATCCACCAAGCTTCACCGAGATCTCATAACGCCCCGCCCTGCGCACAGTGAAGGCCACCTTGACCACGTTGGAACTGGGCTCCTGCAGGACTTCCTGGGTCACTGGAATTTCCACGGCCAGCTCGACATGAGAGATGTGAACTCTCAGTCCCACAGGCCGATGTGCCGGGAAAGGCTGTCCGTTCTTGTAGAATAACTGTGGTGGGGAGACGAGGGGCGCTCATCAGTGAGCAGGTGGAGACAACTGTTTCCCACCTGATTCGAGAGAGTGTGGGCAGGGAGGAGGTAGCTGGCAAATCCCAGTACCCACTGTTCCTACAGTCCTGCTCACAGACACAGAGAGAAACAGCAAACCTCAGAGAAAACATTAAATCAGGAACAAATTCTTAACTTGTTCAGGAGACAGGGATAAAATACACTGCTGAATCCATTTCAACTTGACATTTCTGAACCACAAATGCTGTCCCCTCTTATACCCGGCCCTTATATTATATTCTATCATATTATATTAATCACTGTGGACCACCCAGATGTGAAGGTAAGTTAGTGGGTACCACTGGTGCTGAGTGACTAAAGCACCAGGCAGGGCTGGGTGGAGGGGGGTGGGGGGGTGGGGGCGGGAGGCAGGCAAACTTTTCTATAAAGGGCCAGAAGGTAGATATTTTGGCTTTGTGGGTCACACACAGCCACTCAACTCAGCTGTGGTTAACTACTCAAGTATAAAAGCAGCCACAGGCAATACAGGAAGAGAGATGGGTGTGGCTGTGTTCTAATAAAACCATATTTACAGACACAAGAGGTGGGCCTGATTTGGCCCCTGAGGCCATAGTTTGCCAACCCCCAATCTGTAACACCTGTTCTTTCTGGTGACAGTTTTCTTCTTTTGAAAAAGTAACATTAAACTTTATACATCTTCAAAGTTAAGTACCTACTAAACCAAAGTGATTGAGAAATTCATGACCCTTCCAGATAGTAACAACTACTAAGTCCCTGGGAATGGCTGAAAAACAAGGAAACATGTTAACATTCCAGGCCAGCACTACCAACAGACTGAATGGGGCTCTGGAAAGCAAGTGATTCAGAAAACCCAATGGGTATGGAGACAGAAACATTCCCTTACATGCACTCGGAAGGCCATGCTGTGGCCCACCTCATAGGGGTCCTTCCAATCCCAGGAGACTTTGCAAGACCGGGGATCCAGGTAATTTCCCCGCACGTAGTCATAAATAGTCCGGTCCCCTCTGCGCTCACGGTCCTCATTCTGGAGGAAGCTGACTACGCGTGCGGCAAGCTCAAAGAGGAACTTAATTGTGAAGAAGAATGCAACCACAGACACTGTGATTCCACCTGTGTGAAAGAGAGAACACACATACCACCTGTCAGTTACACATTATAGCTCCTCCCTGTAGAAAAGGCCAGTCATCTTTCAAAAATTAAAAGAAGTCAGGATGAGAGAACAAGACTTCCAAAGAAACACTATACTGGGTCACTCTCTCTGAGGGTGAAGAGAAGAACTTCTAAGATATCTACCTATCATCCATCTATCTATCTATCTATCTATTTAGAGAGTGTGTGCAAGCAGGGGGAGGGGCGAGGGAAAGGGAGAGAGAATCTCAAGCAGACCCCGTACTGAGCGCAGAGCCTGACCCAGGGCTTGATCCTCTGACCCTGAGATCATGACCTGAGCCGAAACCAAGAGTCAGATGCTTAAGTGACTGAGCCACCCTGGTGCCCCAAAGAGAGGAACTTCTATACCAGGGGTTGGAAATTATGGGCCAAATCCCATCCACTGCCTATTTTTGTAAATAAAGTTCTATTAGAACACTGGTCCATCTACTGACTTACATTTTGTCTAGGGCTGCTTTTGTCCTAAACTGACAGAATTCAGTAGTTGAGACAGAACCTGTATGGCCTGGGAAGCCAAAATACTTACTCCTTGGCCTTTTACAGAAGAAGTCTGCCAACCCTGGCTCTATACCGTGGGCCACATACAATGCCCACCCCCCACCTTCTTGCATGGGCTAGGCCCTCACAAGAGTCCTAGAAAGGATGTGAATTCTATTCCCTCCATTTCAAAGTCTTCCCCTCTCTAGTCCACTTGACAAAACCCCTCCCCAATTCTCATCTGCATTAGGGGTTCCCTCTTCTGGGCTCCCTCAAACTCCTGCATATTCACTTATTATAGCTCTTCTTCCCCTTGACCATCTCCCCATTCATGTTATGAACTTCTTGAAGGCAGATTTTTGCCTTATTCGACTTTGACTCAACCGGAAACAGCGTCTGGCACAGGCCAGAATTACTCAATAAATATTTCCCAAATGAATGAATTCCACTGCCAGCTCTATGAAGGTACATTCTGGCACAAGGAGAAATATTTCTATTTTCAAGAGGAAAGGGGATAGACAGGGAGGCAAAACGGATGTAGCAACCCTAACAAAAAGATAAGAGAGAGCTCTTTCCATAACATACCAATAACGTAAAACATCAGGTCCCTTCAATGCCGACAGACAGCCGAGGATCACAGCTGCAGCTGCAAAAGAAAACCTGTTTAGTTTTTTTCTCCAGCTCCTCCTTACAGCCATCTCAGCGAGAGACAAAGAACATATGGCTTGAGTTGACTCGCTCGAGCCTTACTATCCCAGTCCTCTCTCTCTCTAGCCTGACAGGTGCCCTATGACAAATTTCAGCAAAACAGTGACTACATCCCTCCTTCTAAAGACTTCCAATCTATGACCACCCTAGGAATACCACAAACAGCCACTTGCTTTAGTGCTAATTACAAAATGCAGTAACATGACTTTCATCTTCTTAGATCCAGGGCCCCAAGACAGTTTCCCTCCCCCATGCAAAGTAGTGCTAAGTAACGCAAGCAAAGAGGGTAATGGAATCACTTTCCCCTTCTATTTGCCTTCTGGAAGTAATTCATCTGAGTGGAAATAGTTATATCAAATGTAGATTTTTTAAAAGCAAGTATTATTATCATCATGTTGGCATTATATAATTAAAGTGAACCACAGGTTATCCCAATAATAAGCAGTGGGAATGTAAGAGAAGGCATTTTTGCTGTCACCACTCAGATTAACAGGTCCTGTGAAGCAGCAGAAAGGCCAAGGACAGAAACAAAAGGATGAGACCGTATTTTTCCTAAGCGATACCTGGCAAGGTCAGAACAACTCAAACAGGGGCCAGAGTTGGAGGGGTAACTTTCACTGTTATTAACTTTGTGTCCAGAATAAGACTTCAATCATCATTACTTGTTTGAACCACCAAGGTATTACCAAGGAAAAATGCAACGTACATTGACAATGGTATCTTATCACTGAGTTCTGACCTTAGCGTTGGCTATAAAAGCCCTCCATCCTACAATGCAGTGAATTCATGTTTTTCAAGTCAATGTATATAAAGGTTTCATCAACATTAGCTCAACCCAGCACCTTTTATCAGCACTAGAATATTACTTAGAGACAAGACAGCTGAAAATTTCTAGGCTCAGATCTGGGAGGGACCAAAACAAGTTTTGGGGTTTTGTTTTGTTTTCTTAAGTAGGATATACTTTTATATCTAACTGTACTGGAAAAATTTAAGAGGGAGACAGAAAATGGCCTTTAATTTCTCTGATAGCAACAATATACCCAATGGAATCCAGGCAGTTGGTTAATTTGAGGAACGGCCATGACACGTTTCATAGAAATCCCTATTACGACTGGTGTCTAAAGTCCTCCTAGAAAAGAAATCCACAGAGGGAACATTAGCACAGTCAATATAGGCCGCTCCCAGAAGATCTATTATAAAGAGACAATATAGAGACCCCAAATTTGGGATCACAAAGACTGAGTCTCCTTCCCAAACAAGTATCTCATCTGCTGGGACCTTATGCTGAAAGCTGCTCTCATCTCTCAAAAAAGCGTCTCCTTCCCAAATAAGTATCTCGTCTGCTGGGACCTTATGCTGAAAGCTGCTCTCATCTCTCAAAAAAGCATCTGTCTGCACTTTCCAGGATGCAGATGACTTCCTAGATGGCTTGGTAGAACCCACGCTGGCAGTTTAACTGCCTGAAGTACTCCCTCAGTTGGACGTCATCCAATCCCATCCCGGACATGACAATCTGGTCCTTAGCAAAGTTCTAACACTCGGCAGAAAATAAGGTACATGTGGCTGATGTTACAGGTCTTGGGGTCACAAGTCTCCTACTCCCTGGAAGAACAGGAGGCGGTGCCAGATTTACGGCACATTTCATGAGGGCCGGGAAAATTCCAATGCCCTATCTCTGACAACTACAACCTTTTCTGAGAGAGGCAGTGGACAAGCTATAAGTCAAAGGCCTGCAGACCAGTTCCGAGGCAGCAAGTACGTGACCTGTCCAGCTTCAGAATTCTCCTTGCTATAAAAAGGGTTGAGGTTTAGTCGTTTCTGTGGCGCCGTCTCCTTTAATCTAATATCCCACAACCATCAGGACTCTAAAATCAAACAGTTATAGCAAAGAGAACAATACAGAGCATGAGGGCATGGACTCCCTGGCTTCAAACCCATTCTCTGCTGCTCAGTGTGACCATGGATAGGTTATTTCATCTCTCTGGGGACAGCCAGTTTCCTTGTCTGTCAAATGGGGCCCATGTGCGTGTACCTCGCAGGGGTGTCTGTGAGGAAGAAATGAGTTAACACATGTCAACAGCCTAGAATAGTGCCTGGCACTCAATGAACTATCAGTGTGACTTATTATGACACTTTTTATCAGTAGTGGTAGCAGCACCACTACCCCTTTGTGTCGGAGCCAGTAGGAGACTCTGGGAACCTCTCTACTGGCCCACACTTTCTTCAATGGGAAATGCATCAGAATTACAAAAGGCATGGCTTCCCTTACTGCATTTTAAGTTTCTGCCTACATGGGAGTTCTTCATACTATTCTAATTTTATGACTGAAAATTTTTATGATGGAGAGTTCAAATTCATCCTAAAATAATTTGTCTGACAAATACTGGGGACCTACCTAACATGCCAGGTGCCGGGGGAACCAGCCACAGTCTCAATCCTCATGAAGCTGGAGTAACGAGCTCGACCTTGCTGAGTCTTTGTCCATTTTCTCCCCATTCACTTACTTCTCAGCCAAACTGTCACCACTGATCTAGAACACCCAGACTTTTTCCAGTAGGTCAAGTCTACATTTCTACTCCAATTCCCTTTATTATTAAAGCTCAGCATACCTATTGCTACTTTTTCCCAAACAACTCTCACCTCTTCTCCTGGAAACGTCCTTATGGCCAGGGAATTAGCTCTGTCGATTACTAACCCCTGATCAGACCTTTACAAAGTATCCCAGTTCTCTACAGTAGCTCTCAAAAACCTCCCCAACAGTATCTAACCATCTCTACACTGGTCACATTTTGAACTTGTCTTCCTTTTTTGTTTTCCTCCTGTCTTATTCCTCTTGAATGTTGTCACAAACCTTCTGATCTTTGTCACTCAGATCACTTTTATTCCAGATTTCACTTCCATTCTGTTAGCATTTTGCAATCTCTTCCTGACCCCAGCATGGCTCTCTCTGTTGTCTCTGCTCCCATCCCCACCCACAGTGGTTTTCTTCACCCCATCTCCCATAGTACCTTGTTTTCATCCTATGATCTACCCAACTCAAGTCCTTTCCACCTTCACATCTAAGTTCTGAAACGTCCCATCTCCATGCTTTGTAAAAAGTCACTTTCTCTGCCTAGACTATCCATTCCCCTCTCATATCTCCATCCATGGGAAATCTCCTATCCGGAAAGTCTACGGAAAATCTTGTCTCCTCTCCCTGAAATCTTCCCTGGGCCTCAATTTAGAAATTCCACCCCCCTCTGAATTCCCACATAACTTTATTATTTATCTTATAAAACTTGTTCTCTTTCATTAGTCCCACGTTTGTTTTATTTTCCATTTCAGAGTGGTAAATAACATTAGGCAAAGACTAGTCTTCAAAATTCCCCACAGCACCCAACATAACTGCATATAGTCATTGTAATAAACATGAATGAAATATCTGAACAGACAATAGTCCAATGTCTGTTCCTTCCTTCATCCAGAATGCCTAAGGATCAGGAATTTTCTAGATGGGACCTCTTTTCTGATACAGTTTTTAAACACTTCTCTAAAGGGCAGTACATTCACTTGAGCCAGGGGTTATAAACTCTTCAGACCACAAGTTACCATTTTACCGCAGTTCTGTAAGTCTGTACCAAATGCCTAAAACCAGAGTCACTGGTTCTCATGCAGGGCGTGGTATCTGATTTTATGGTTCTCTCTTCCTTATCTTGAGCATTTATTTTTCTATAACAGTTTCTATAGCACCCTCCACTTTCTGCTGCTCACACTTCTTCTTCATAAAATTATTCTAGAACTCTTCCCGAGTCTCATTCAAGCACAAAGAAGCAGTATGTTAAGCCTCTGCCATACTAATTCACGCCATTTAGCTATACAAGTATTCTGTTTTCAAGTTCATCTCTTTAGTGACTTGCTCTTTTTTTTTTTTTAATTTTATTGATTTATTTGACAGAGAAAGGGATCACAAGTAGGCAGAGAGGCAGGCGGAGAGAGAGGGGGAAGCAGGCTCCCTGCTGAGCAGAGAGGCATGTGCGGCTCAATCCCAGGACCCTGAGACCCTGACCTGAGCTGAAGGCAGAGGCTTAACCCACTGAGCCACCCAGGTGCCCCTAGTGACTTGCTCTAATACAACTGAGCAAACTGTGATTTGCTAAGCTAGCAGAATGACAGTAGTAGTAAAGTAATACTCACTCCCTATCCTTATTGAGCCACTTACCATAGGTGAAGTGCTAAGTGCTTATATGTGTTAACCTAAGTAATTGTCTCCCTAACAACTTGGTAAAATAAACCCCACTATTCTCATTTTACAGATTAAAAAACACACACACAAAAGCTAGGCTTGGAAAATTAACTTGCTGAACACCTCCTGGCTGGCTAAGTGACAGAGCTGAGACTCAAGCCTAACTCTGTGCCTAACTCTGAAACCCATCATTCTAACTCTCATACAACACTAAATCATGACAAAGAATGGAGTCATAGCGACAGTGAGGTATTTGGGAAGAGGGAAGATGAAAAAAACAGGTAAAAGTATGAAAAACATTACTTAATCTTACTGCAAGGAGTCCCACCAGGAGGTTAAAATTAGAAAGATAAATGCTTGTGGCCCTTTTTGAAATCTTTTGAAATAAAAATAAAGCATGACAAAGGAAAATGGAATGCAGTACCAATTATCTAATGCAGAAATATCACTTGCTTACTAAAAGATCCCGGGCAAGTTGCTTAACACCACAGTGCTTTGGCTCACATTACCTACAAAAGGCGGGGTAGGGAGAGTACTTGAAAGTGCCTGTCTCAAGGGAATGTTAGGAAGTTGACCAACACACATATTCTAAAACTCTCTGCTTTTTTAAGGAGTCTAAAGATTTGTAATTAGTTCATAATTTAAATTAACTTGTAAATTAAATAAGTTATAACCCAGGCATTAAGATCAGATGTGAAAAAGTCATTTCCCAGAAACAGAGAATTGAGTTCTTCATCCTCAGAGGAGCCCTAGAGGTGGAAAGAAGGGGGGATCCATTCTAACTGCAACTTCAACAGCTATCCCTTGTTGGAAAGAAAGGCTTAGGAACTGGTCACTGAGTTCATGTTCTGTACCTTAATAACAAGTGAATCTGAACTAGTCTATGGTCTTACCTTTAAACGAGGGCCCATGTTCTGAGAACCAAGTGGAACGCTCCTATGCACCGAAGCAGGCAACTTCTGGCACCATTCACCTTGTCCTCCAAACTCCACGGGAAAGAAAATTGCTGCAAGGTCAACGGAAAGTGTCTGTCCATCAGACATTCATTGAGGATGTGTCACAGAAGCTGAGGGTCAATATTTCTGGAACGAACTGGATGCATTCCAGGGGGGAGAAATATAGCCCCAAAAGCTATTATCCTGGACTTCTCCCTAGGGCAGGGTACGGTCGACCACCAAAGGACGCATCTGTTCTCTTGTCCTGGGATCCTATCAACAGAGAAAAAAAGGGTCAGTGGAAGAGCTGCTTATTTCTGAAAGCGAATGCCCAGAAAACAACAAAGAGGAGGTAGATAGGATGGGCAGAGGAAACTCTGGGGCCTGAAAAATAAACAAGGCCTGGTAAACCTGGACCAAGCTTTCCCAATTAAAATGCCACCAAAAAAGGCAAGTGGCAACCTCACTGCCTTAACTGTGTCACTCCCCGAAAGGAAGCTCCAGCACGTCGGCCGATTCTAATCCTTTAAAAGAAGCAACGAGGGCACAGATTTAAAGAGTGAGCCTTGGGATGCCTGGGTGGCTCAGTTGGTTAAGCGTCTGTCTGCCTTTGGCTCAGGTCATGGTCTCAGGGTCCTGGGATCCAGCCCCGAGTTGAGCCCAGTGTCAAGCCCCATGTCCAGCTCCCTGCTCCCTGGGGAGTCTGCTTCTCCCTCTTTCTGCCCCTCCCCCTACTTGAGTGCGCACACGCGCATGCGCTCTCTCCCACTCAAAGACAAATAAAATCTTTAAAAAAGAATAAATAAAGGGTGAGCCTCATCACTACCACATGCCCAGTTCCAGTTTAATGGGACTGGAGCACAGGGTCTGGGAATAGGGTGAAGAGAAATGAGACCACAGGATAGGTGAGGCCACATTACAGAGGGCCTTATTATGCCAGAGAAGCAATCAAGGTAATGCCCCATTGGAAAGAGAAAACCACCAAAAAGCTTTAAAACCTAACCCATCTGCCCACGTAGGCTGCTCCGTTTGCACCCATGACTGCGTTTCCAAGACATGGTGAAACACCATTGATTTTATTTTTTAAACAGTCACATTTACTGAGTGGGGGGAAAAAAGTCTGAATTCTCGAGATAAAGTCACTAAGTAGAGTCTAGTAAAGTCAGTGTGTAACTCAAAGACATTCATAAACTAAACGTAGCAGAAGGGGGTATGGCAAAGCATACACAAACAGCCACCGTAAAACAAATGAGGAGAGACCACTCATCACTAAAAACAAACAAACAAACAAACAAACAAAAGAAAAAAACACAAAAACCAGAATCTCTTTCCCCATGATGGGAACTATGGTCAGTGCTTCATATATTATTAACTCACAACCCCAGGACACAAATAAAATTATCCCTATTTTGCAGATGAGGAAATAGAGGTACTTTCTCAAGAGAACACATGGTAAGTAGTAGAGGTGAGTCAAACCCAGATAATCTGGGCCCAGAATCCATGCTTTTTATTTTTCTTTTTAAGATTTTACTTATTTGACAGACAGAGATCACAAGTAGGCAGGGAGGCAGGCAGAGAGAGAGGGGGAAGCAGGCTTCCTGGAGAGCAGAGAGCCCGATGTGGGGCTCCATCCCAGGACCCTGAGACCATGACCCGAGCCGAAGGCAGAGGCTTTAACCCACTGAGCCACCCAGGCGCCCCAAGAATCCATGCTTTTTAATGACTACCCTACGGCCTCCCTACCCTGGGAAACCAAGAAAGAAAAGCCACAATGCTAGTAAGAACAGCAGAACGGAATGAGGGAAGGCCAGCAGATCAAACAAGTTGGCAAACTTTTATAATTAAAAATAAACAAGTATACGTATTTATTTTAAAATATGGTGATAGAATTGCCAAGTACATGAGCCAAAAGCTGGGTTGACTAGCAACTGGGACCAGCTTAAAGGATCCATAAACAAGATAAGAGTTATATATAAACTATAGGAGCTCCATTAGAATGCTATCTCAGCCTTAAAAAATGACACCTTTTAAGGAATAATGAAAGAAATTTCTCACAAATAAAATGCTAAATCAAAGGCAAGCACAAAATTATTTACATAGCATGAGACCAATTTTTAAAATGTTACACTACATACACACAACTAGATGGAACAACATAAAAATATTAATAGTCATCATCTCTTAGTGTTTGCAATTATACATAGTTTTTGTTCCCTACCTGTACCTTTCCGTGTCCTCTAAATTCTTACTGATGTAAGAACATAGTCAAAGTTTCTATTTCTGGAGAACAAATAACTTTTGGGGAGAGAACAGGCAAGTTATCCTTGTTTCTAACAAGGAAAGAGTATAAAAAACTAGCTAAAAATAAAAGAATGTACTGAAATTTTACTTCTATTCATTATGATCTTAGTGGGTCTCCAGCCCTGTAATCTGCCATTTGGTTATTAAATTAAGTAACTCTTAGTTCCTTTTTAAAATAGTGATTTATTAAAAAGATTTTATTTATTAGAGAAAGAGAGCGTGCGCACAGGGCAGAGGGAGAAGGAGAAGCAGACTCCCTGCTGAGCAGAGAGCCCAATATGGGGCTCTATCCCAGGACCCTGGAATCATGACCTGAGCCAACAGAAGATGCTTATAACCAACTGAGCCACCCAAGTGTCCATAACTCCTAGTTCTAATATCATTTTTCCCGCACCCCACCATGAACTACCACGCCTGCCCCTGACAATGTTTCATTCAGTGTCTCTAGTAAGCCTGAAAATTCAACTCAAGCACCATTGCCCTTCCTGGTCCAATTCTCAGGCCCCTCTGATAATTGCCCCCATGCCACGCAGAACCAATCACTTGCTCCTCTGTGATACCCCTGTTCTGAAAATACCTCTATTACAGCATTTATGAGTCTGTATTATAATTATTTATCTATACAGTAGTCTCTCCTAATGAATTCTGGGATCTCTGAGGACACTGACTGGGTCTTACTCATCTTTGTCTCCCAGCAGCTAGTATGTTGTTCAGTTTATCTCAGTCTATACTTTGACAAGTGCCCCCAAGAGATTCCTATACATATTAAAGTCTGAGAAGCTTGGTCTAGGCTCTAGGGCAGCCCCTCTGAGAAGGGACCCGATATTCTGTATCTCTAATAGGCTCGCAGGAAGTGTTGATGCTGCTGGTCTGTAGATCATGCTTTCGGGAGCAAAGGTCTGGAGCAGGAGTTGGCAAACCATAGCCTGCAGGCCAAATCCAGACAGTCGCCTGCTTTTTTTTTTTTTTTTAAAAAGGGAGGAACACAGCCAAGTTCATTCGTTTACATATGGTCTATGACTGCTTTTGCGCCACAAGAGCAAAGCCAACAAAGCTTTCCTATCTGACCCTTGACAAGAGCAAAGCCAAGTAGCTGCAACGACTTAAGGTCTACAGAGCTTTCCTATCTGACCCTTGACCCCTCTCTAGCATAGAGGTCTCAGTCTTAGAGCTACGTAACTGTTTTGTATAAACTCATTTTTATAAATCAAAAAAAAGCATAAAAAATTTTCTTCCAGTTCTCCTGTCCCCTCTTAGGAAACGAGCTATAAAACTGGCAGCATTATGCAAATATTTCTCCTGGCTAATTTCAACTGCTGTTTAAAAGTTTTATGCCTCCCATACCCCAAAGTAGGAATTTTATACAGTCATTTCCCAAAGTACATGTTTCCTACAATTATGCTTGCATTTCATCAAGGCTGTAATTTCCTAAAACCAGTACCTTGGGGACCAATCCCATATCCAGGTTTCTAAAATTATTACAATACCTATTACTGACTCAGTGTCTACTTTTAAAATGCTATTACAAAAAGCCATTTAAAGAAAAAAAAAAAAAGGATGTGAAAGTCCACTGTGGAAATCTGGTGAAGAAAGAAAGTGGCAGTGGCAACACACAGTCACCCAACTACAGCCCAAAGAGTCCCACAAAGAAGGACAAGACAAGAGAAAGATGTTGCCTTTGAAAGATGGGAGTCTTTAGGACTCTCTATATAGAAGCACCAGCCCCAAGTCCAGGAAAATCAAATTAAAAGAACCAAATCATTCCATTAACAAAAGGCCCAGGGTTTAGAGGGATCGAAGGAGGTTCCAGAAATAAAGTGTACCATCAGACACTTTAGATTATTAGTTTACATTTTCCTTTGCTTAATTTCAGCCCTGGTTTATTCTCCCCCAAATCCCACCCTAAGAGACTGCCCTCCCCCATCAAGTTTATTCTCTTGAGATATTTCTGCAGTTGTGTATTCCTGCTATCTCGGTTCGGCCAAGTTATACGGTTTTCATTTATATTCTTTCCTCATCAGTCAGCCCCTCCAGTCTCTTAATCATTCCTGTGGGTCTTCTGTGAACTCTCTCCAGCTGGTCCCCAGCGATCTGGTAATGAGGTGCCTCCAACTGACTGCAGCCTTCCAGGAATAGCCTCGCTAGAACAAAGATGAGCTCACCCTCCTCAGTTCCATGACATAATACTCCTGCGTAGACATGCCCCCCCCAATCACAGCAAGCTAGAACACTGCCATATTAGACTGGAACCCCGTTCTGTGCCTCCCAGATTTGGGCCTTGGGGCAGGCCGATGTGCTGGAAGCCTGAGGATAAATGGCACAAGTTCCTGCAGCAACCGTTTACTAGAGGATGACTCGGGTGGGGAGCACAAGGTATTCTCACCTTAAAGCTCTCACAGGCAATACAACAGAATGCAAAATTTGCGTGCATTTCTAAAGGCAAAATATGGGTATGTCCAAAATATGCAGATTCTTTTTTTTTTAAAGATTTTATTTATTTATTTGACAGACAAAGATCACAAGTAGACAGAGAGACAGGCAGAGAGAGAGGGGGAAGCAGGATCCCTGCTAAGCAGAGAGCCTGATGCGGGGCTCGAGCCCAGGACCCTGGGATCATGACCTGAGCCAAAGGCAGAGGCTTTAATCCACTGAGCCACCCAGTTGCCCCCAAAATATGCAGATTCTTGATACCTGAGGCATTAAGTCTGCTCGGGGCTCTGCTCCCAGCCCCCAAGGGATTACATGCCCACCATCCTCTACCACCAGAGACACTTAAACTGAAGTTTGGAAAGCACTACAATCCCCACTCAACTTATGGTCTATTACCCCACTGCCGCCCATCCCCTATACTCACATTTTAAATAAAATTCTTTTTGCTGCTATGTCCCCTCCCCGCAACCCTTGGATACCTGTATTTTCTCTTTGCCTAACATCATTTGCTGAAAGAGTGTTTTAGCAAATTCACTGTAATT